CATCAGTGGTTCACTAACCTTTTTCCTGAAGGGACCTCTTTTCTATCATTTAGTAAAATGACTCAGTGGTGTATTTTATGGATATTTCATATTATATATTTAAAACTGAACCCAAACAGTGAACTCAGTAACTGAGAGAAATTTGTGTAAAACAAGTGATTAGAATGAATTCTGAGCAGATTATTTCCTGTTTAGGGAACGTTTTATACAATTCTCTGTCTGTATTATGTATTGTTTTATCATTTCTAACAATCACACCAACTTAATAGGCTCCTTTTTTGACAAATTCAGTGTTTTCCTGTCCCTGATGCTTGGTCATTGTACTATTGGACAGTTTACTAACATTTACATTTTTTCACTGAAGTGAACCTACTGTTTTTTACACCCCTTAAAATCAAGAAGGTTTCGCAACCCCCATGAAGCTTTGGCTATCTCTAGTGGGGGTCAGATTACATTTTTTGTAATCTGGTGGATAACATTAGTAAATACAAAAATGTCCATGTGATTTATATTCAGTAACTGACTACATTTCACACACTGCACATGTCCACCTGCATGTGTTTAACTGTGTGATCACATTCATATTTATGATTTTTCATGTGAGGAAGAGAGAACGAATGTATACGTTGAGCCAAACTTGTGTCCGCATGTGTCAATGTGAGTGTGAGACAAAGGCGGAGTTCATGAATGTTTGGCAGAGTGCATTTTTCAGATAATAAATCAGATAATAAAGAACAGATTTCAGAAATAAAAAAAATCACACAAACACGCAAACACATTCCAGGTAAAACTCAAACATGTCATATGTCCGTCCATCTCTAGTATCTGTCTGTCTGTTTTTGTCTGTTTACTTCTGGCCAATGATGTGCACACACACACACTCCCACACACACACTCCTGGTCAGGTTAAAGGCTAACAGAGTGTGTCTCCCTGCAGGATGAGGGCTGGTCTCTCTGGATTCCAGCTCGGGTCAGACACTGGGTCAGCTGTGACGCACACACACTTTCCCTCTGTGTGTGTGTGTTGAACTGTGTGTGTGTGTGTGTGTGTGAGAGAGAAAGAAAGTAAGAGAGAGGTGAATGGAGACAGACAAAACATTTGAGAGATGACACAGAAAAAGTGGCATTAAAAGACATTTAGAAAGAAAAAGGTGATGAGTTTGTTTATCAGGGTACGTATGTAGTGTGTGTGTGTGTGTGTGTGTGTGTGTGTGTGTGTGTGTGTGTGTGTGCATTGCCCCTGAAGCTCCTGTCTGAGTATCTGCCTTATAAAATCTTAATAGTCTCTCTACTGTTGATCCTGCAGCTACAAACGCAGCAAGAGAACCACGTCTGACTTCATTAACGGGAGTTCACTGCTTCACTTTACTGCAATGAAAACCACTCTGCTGCTACTGTTCATAATACGAGTAACACACACACACACACACACACGTTTCTCTCACCATGTAATCCATCACATGTCAGTGGTATGACATCATGAGATTTGCTCCACGGTGAGATACTGACTGTTTGAGGGGAAATGGAACCTGCTCTCGAGGGAAAACAATCATCGGATAAATGATTGTATTTAAAGGTTGTTGAAGGAAAACAAACTTCTTTTAGGTTTATCACACAAACACATTTTTAAAAATCCACATATCATTACACATGAAATTCCCAGATATAGATTCTGGCAGCTAAATATGCCACATCTGTCAAGAAAGTGTCTGTAACCTGATAGATGAGACATCTGGAATTTTCCACTTGATGTAATGGTGCTGCCAACGGCGTACTGAATTTGAATGTTTCTCTCAGTATTTACATCACAGACTGATTCTTGGTCCAGTTTTTCTTCAGATCTCTGGACGTTGAAATTCAATTTTACAGCCTGAAAAATCATATTATAAATTGACAAAAAAACTACAGACTTCTATGATTTGTCTCATATTGTATTAATTCTCTTTCAATCAAAGTGACATTTCAACTTTCAGGACATTTAACTGCAGTTTCCTTTCTCACTCATTGTATCACTAACATCCATGCAGTGTTTCTAAATGTCTCTGAATGCCGTAATCCTGTCACGTCATGAGCAATCCTTCCAAAACCGTTCCCTCTCACTTGGATACAAAACCTGAATTGTAAAGAACAACACGGTGGATGCTTCAGTAATTCCATTCATCCGTCCACTCATTCACTCAGCGGACTGCTCACTCCACAAACATCTCACTAACCAGCACACAATGAAACCAGCCTCCCTGAACTAATTGCTGCTGGATAGGAAACAATTGTTGGCTCTACTGGAGTTGCTGGTTGCCAAGTGGGAAGCAAGCATTCGGAAAAAAGAAGTGTGTTAATGAGACTGGAAACAGGCTGAGGACTTCACTGTGCAGTACTCTGCTCTTATGATGAAGAATGCATTGGATGAGAACTGAGGAAATTGTTTTATGAAGCAAAATATGTCTGATATGATGTATATCTAGTATCACCTCAGTTTAACCAACTTTTACTTTTTTCATGCTGTGCGAGTAAGATTATATCATCTGCATATATTATATGCATATACAGTATACAGTATACTGACAAGCAACTAATCTACTTACCTCATTTAACAAGATTTAATTTGAAGAGTTAAATCATAAACACAAATAGAAAACAGTGTGAAACTACCTGATGCTCATTTTAATTTGTCTGATAAATTTCTGTCCCCTAAAAGAGGGTATGAGGGTAAGAGTATGATGCAGTGTTAGGCTCATTGTAGGTAAAAAATAAAAAATAAAAATACAAAGCCTAGGGAGGGGGATAATATTCCTATAAAAAACTGGAATATTCTCTGGGAATAAAGTTGTAATTTTACTAGAAAAAACCTTGAATATTCTTGAAGATAATAAAGTCAGGAATTGACATGATAAAATATTAAGTCATAAGAAAAAACTTGTTGTAGGTAAGTGCGTATACCAAACTTTCTATAATTCATACACTGTTCATCCAATGTGTGTAAACCGTGTCAACTTGAAGATGACGACAGCACTTTAACCTCATCGTCATTGTTAATCTAATAGCCAAGGAGCTATTCTGTATCCTTCAACTGTAACAACAATGCAACAAGTCCGACCTAAAATAAGCTTGAATCTGGTCATCCATGACGGCAGTAAGTAGCAGGTAGTTTGAAACAGCCTCAATTAGATTTAAAGATTTATGGGTCACCATTGCACTCATCAACAGAGCATCACCATGTTGTTAATTTGTTCATTTCGAATTTTATTCCTTCCTGCTGTTCCCACGAAGTGTTTTACTGTGTGTTGTCTGTTTTCTTTAACTAAAACTGAAAGAAAAAGTGATTTTACAGCATGTTGGAGAACATTTCTATGAACATTCACCAGATTGCTTTGAACACTGTGTTAGACAGACATTACTTCATTGATCTTTATGATATGTTATAAGTTCTGTCCAGCTCCGACAGCAATAGGTCCACTGAGAAAATGACTTTACCGCTGAAAACCTTTAACTGGATGCAGACTTTCCAAAATTCAGACATCACGACAGCAGGGAAATAATAACACTTCACTTTCATCACTAAACTTAAATCCACTTTTGACTGAGCTTTTGTTACAAATTGGGATGTTAACTGATGGGCAGCAAACCAGTAAGTAAGGAAAGGAAATCAAATGAAAGAATGAAAGACACATGTTTTCATGTGAAAATAATCGAAGGAAAAGACACATGGTAGACAGAGCAGTTCTGTCTCTGAGTTTTCTCTCATTTATAAGGCTGCTGTTTTTGAGTTTGCTGCTCTCTCTTACTCTCGGCTGGTAGAAAAATCAGCCACAAATGAGAGAGAAAAGCTGAGCACAAACAGCCTGAAATGCTCCACAATACAGTGACTAAAACGAATTACATTCATGATTCATGCTGCTGTTTTAAATGGGGCGCAAAACCTATAAATTAGGCATAAAGTGTTTTAATGGGTGAAGTTATACTGCAGGCAATAGAAAGTACAAAAAGTGTAGACAGTAACATTTAACTCAATCTGACGTTTGCCTGGTGGTGTGGAGTTTTAAAACCAAAAGAATGCACTTGAGGCCAGCAGAGACTCTGGGAATTCAAACTGAGCAGAGCCATCACTTGGTTTGGATTTTTTTGTTTTGTCTGTGTTAATTAAGTCGCTATTTCATCAAAAACTCTACCACTCAATTGATTCTGCTATTTGAACATAAACACAGACGCATGCTTTACTTAATCAGCAGGAGTTGTGTGAGTAACCTTGTGCTTCACTGGAAAAGGTGAGTATACTCGAGTGACAAATTTGATGACTTTAGACTTGACTTGACAAAATAAAAAAAGACTTGACTCAACTTGGACTTTTACATCAATGACTTGTGACTTCACTTGGACTTGAGGACTTGAAAATACTTGATACCTTCCCCAAAGCCCAAAGATTAAAAAGTATGTTATTTAAAAAGTGTGCCATGAATCAATTCATTTGCTGAATTAACTAACATTAACACTATTTATTCCCAGAAAGTTGTCACTTAATTCCCCCTTAATTAATCCACTTAGTTTGAACCAATCTGACAACATCCAGTGAAGTTGCAGGAGTGAACCTTGAAGAACTAATGTTTTATTGCTGAGCGCCAGTGAGAGTAATACTAACGGTGCTTCTGTTCATTAAAGTGTTGTTAAAATGGCATTAGTTTTGAGTACAATGACTTGTTTAGGACATGTCAGTCATGACTTGGGATTTAAGAGCAAAGACTTGAAGCTTACTTGTGACTTTATTAACAATAATTTTGTCCCACCTCTGCAACAGTTGCTTTCACAATGTAGTGATTTTTTACAGAAGTAATTATTTTGTTTTTCTGCTGCTGAGCTGAAAATGAACTTGTGTGTGGAAGTACCTACCTTGATATTCTTATTTAGTGCAAGTAAAACCTTGATTATTCATTTATGAAACAGTTACCTCAGTCTACCTAACAACCGGTGCGCTCTTACTGTGAAAGAGCAGTTGATGTGTTTCCTACCTGAGTGGGAGAGCTGCAGTCGTGGTCCAGTTTGGCTCCAGGCTTTGGCTTCTGGAGCACTGCTGGAGTTCGCAGGCTGCAGCCACAGCAGTGGAAGGAGACAGACTGTCAGTATCTGAAGAGACTTCATCCCTCTGGCTCTGAGTCCTCCTGCTGCCTGCAGGGCTGCCGCGAATACTGTTGTCATCTCTGATTGATCTTCACTGAGATAGATGGAAGAAAGTCGAAGCAGCTGGTCACATCACACTCTGGGCTTCAGCTGACTGGAAGAAAAATGACAAAGAGGGAGTTGGAGAGAGACTGATTAATATTATGTCAAATGTGTTTGATGAAACATGATTCAACTTTTCTTTTTAGCCACGCTAGCAGCCTGGCTCTATGTCAGTCTGTTGGTTGGTTGGTTCAGCACTTTGGCCCAGATATCTCTTAAATATCTCAACAGCTATGGGGTGTATTGCCATGAAGTTTTGTGCAGACATTCATGGTTCCCAGATGATTTCCTTTTCAAATCAAACATCAAATATCAGTCTTTAATATCATTTCACAGTATATACAGCATTTACATACATGAAACAAAATTCCTCTGCATTTGACCCATCCTATATACATTACTATATACTTTAGGAGCAGTGAGCAGCTGTGAGGGGTTAGGTGCCTTGCTCAAGGGCACCTCTGCAGTGCACAGGAGGTGGAACAGGCACCTCTCCAGCTGCCAGTCCACACTCGAACCGGTGACTCTCTGGTTCCCAAGCCAAGTCCCTACAGATCGAGCTACTGCCCCCCGCAGCGCCACCATGAGGTTCACATTTTTGGTTCAAAGTGAAATACCTTGACAACTATTGGATGGACTGCAAAGAAATCTGGTACAGACATCCATGTCCCCCTCAGGATAAATTGTAAATAACTTTAGTGATCTCTTAGCGTTTCATCCTGCACCAACATCAGGTCAGACTTTTAATTTGTCCATCACTTTGTTTTGTAAGTAAATTCCTGCAAAACTAGATATTCCAGAAAATTCTCCAGTTAGACACATTAACTCCTTTTATAAAAAGACTAAAACTAGTTCTTCTTTTTTTCTGAATACAATCCTTCAAAATGTGCATAAATTGATGTAAAATAAACTTTTATGGAAAACCATCCAACATACAGCATATAAGAGATATTTCACTCTGATGGACCAAACAGCAATCTTAAGAGCCAATTAAGTAGAGTTAATCAAAGGGAAAGTTCCTGAGCTGTGTGGTTATGTGAAAAGTCAGATGAAGCTAGATTCCAGTAAATTAAGTCAATTAAACAGTAAAGGCTGAAGATAAATAATTGGAATTACTGGAATTTCAGACGTTTACATTCATAATGGAAGAGACCAGATTTTGACCATACCAGCCTCTTAATCTGAGAAAACACTGACTGCAGTTCTTTTGGCCACACTAGTAATATCCAGACGTCCCATTTATAAAACATTCACAACACTCAGAAACACACAGAGAGACAGAGTGAGAGAGTAACTGGGACAGACAAAGAGAGAGTCCAGAGTCAGCCCATAAATAATGTGACAGATTGTTTGTCGACGGTGATCTGAAGAGAGTGTTTGCAGGGAGAGAGAGCACTACTACCCAGAGACTATTTGCATCATATGAACCAAATAAAAATGAGATTGATACCCGATTAAGTTTGGTTATGTGACACCCGAATAAAACACATTAAAGCACTTCTTTTCCCAAAACAAGGTGATGAATCTGATACTCAGATAATTCAATTCAAATTCCAACTGGGTCCAGTAAGTTGTGGGGTTTAGGAATAAACAGTCCGAATTCAAAGTCTAATCGAATCACTGCACATTTACAAAATAAACAAACCAAAGAACATAGTTTTGCTTTTATTGACTTATTCTGCACTTTGGATGTGTCCTTTACATGCTGACGGCCACCTGAATAAATCTCTAGTAGACAGGAACTAAATGTGCAGCGAGGACTGGGAGGCTGTGTTAATGTGGGAATGTAGTTCAGGAGGGAAACAGATCAATTTATCATTTTGTACGGTTTACTACAGCGGTGGCGGGCCAGTTTTAAGAGGTTAGTTTGAGAAATGCAAGGAGAAAGAAGCTGCTGAGAGAGGAAAGACAGTGAGCTTGTCAGCTGAGCCCGAGTACTCCCAAACAGAAAGAGGACACAGAACAACCAATGGATGGACTATGAGACAACCGACCCCTGGACACAGACATGTTAAAGACCCTCCACCCCTCCCACATAGGAGCAAGACACCCAGACTGAAGGAGTTTATCATTTTGCATCTCGTTCTAGTTGTTTTGCATCTATTTGTAGTTTTTAATTTACTTTCCGTTTACAGTCACTTCAAACAGCGGCTCTGGTCTGGCCTCCTGACCCCTTCGGGCCCTATGTGGTGTGGTCCAGTTGGTAGAGTTGAAAACTTTCTGCAATGCAACAGAAAGTCCCTCCACTGTAACAGTACCCAAACCATGAAATTATTTCAGGTGGCGTGGCAAAACGCGAGAGTAATTTGCCGAGCTTGCAAGCACAGTTCCAGGAGAAACTGACCATGTTATCATACCATAATTTATCACAATCTGTCATGGCGGCTTGCTGGCTAGCATCCTGTCAGCAGGATTTAAAGAGCTCAACACGTTGGACAGACGCCTGCTGAGAGAGGAAAGACAGCCAGGGAGGTTTAACTTGGCTTCTGCTCTGCGTTTTTATCTACCCTCGCTGTGACTCGGCAGCGTGACTCTGACACTGCCGGTGCCAAAATGTGGAGATCTCAATTCAGAATGCCTCAGACAAGATCTCTTTTTATACTTGTTTACTGTTTTAAATACAGTGTGAAGACAATGAAGAGGCCATTTCTTTTCCAGCATTCAACAAGATGATGGAAGACGGAACTGACTCATAACTTAATAACAGCCTTTAACATCCACCTTTAATCCAGCAAATGGAAGCCTTGGGACAGAACCCTTTCAAATTAAAAACACTCCCCTTTAATCCTGCTTTTGACAGTTTATCTTCTGTAATGTTCTCTATTATTTCCATAAACTGTTAAAAGGATTGCCAGACACCACAAACATCCATGTGTCTTATGGTTTTAACCATACTGTTCTCTATGACACATCCTCTGAGAGCGCAACATGAACAAATATGTTTGTTCTGTTTATTAGAAGAAAGACTAAATTAAAGAATGTAATTATGGGTTATGTCAAACAGAGAGAGACGTAAAAAGAAGAGGAGGATGGCGTAAATGTGGTTAATGAAGACAAACTAAACAGAAAAGAAGCTGTGTAGCATTTATGTGCAGTTAAGAATAAACAGAATAAATTACAGTCGAAACCACCGTAAACCTGTCGCTTCAGGGTTGAATGACAAAACCCAGAAGACACAAAGGAAAGAGTTTCTTCTTCTTGCGGTGAAACAACAAACCACGCCAGTGTCTGAGTAATCAATAATAGCTGTTATTACTCGTTCTGCGTGTGAAACATAACTGTGGACAAGTTGTACTGTAACACAACGACATCATGTGTTTCACATCAGCGTTGTTCGTTTGTGTTCAACACTTGACTCGAGGAAACAACCTCCTCAGACCCGTCAACATTGAGACAGACGAGGAACAAACTGTCTCTTCCTCTCTCCGCTCATCTGACATGCAAAGTGTGTGTGTGTGTGTGTGTGTGTGTGTGTGTGTGTGTGTGTGTGTGTGTGTGTGTGTGTGTGTATGTGTGTGTCGCAGATAGAGAGAAAGAGAAAATAAAATGTGAAAGAGACAAAGTCAAGGTGACGGGAAAAAACATCAATTGATAAAAAATGTAAATCTGTGTGCGTGCGCTCAGGGTTTGTGTGTGTGTGTGTGTGTGTGTGTGTGTGTGTTAGCTTTGTTCCAAAGAAACTTGGGTGTTGACAAGAGTTTTTAAATAAATCCCTGAAGGAAACTCATCGTTTGTTTCCTCTGTCTGTCTGCTGGTCAGACACACACAAACACACACACACACACACACACACACACACACACAACACAAACAACACACACACAACACACACACACACACACACACACACACACACACACACACACACACACACTGCCGAATACACATTAGTGACATTACACACATTAATACACACATATGAACTTGAGATACACAAACACATACCAGCACGCATATACACACACATATATACGTACTCTCTCTCACTGACACAATGTGGTGAAGCCAGCCGGATGAGGACATGTCAACTTTTGGAGACTAAAATTAGACAGTTTGTTTACGTATGTTTGTGTTGTTTTTTTGGTTCAGATTCAGGTCGACTGCAAGTCACACAGGCCCAGCTAAATACACACACACACACACACACACACACACACACACACACACACACAGTCATACATTCAGCGTTGTTGTACACTTCTACCTTCAACTACAAATTGCTCCATTTACATAGAAATGATTGAGTAGATTCAGTTATTTGTTTTCTCTAGTCGGGAAGGTCATCTGAACACTCACTGACACTGACTAAAAGACGACTATGATGAGATTGCTTGATGTACCATACACCCGATACAGCGTATACGTTTTGGAGTCTTCAGGATGAATATAAAGCTTCCACACAGGTAGCTGTTTGTTATTTGGTGCATCTTAAAACTACACTTTGATCACAGTGACAGCAGTAACCCAGAAAGGACCAACCAGACACTGGCGCCGGATGGGGCCGCTCACATTTTTTGCGGCCACTGTAGTTTTTAATTTGCACTTGGAAGGGGAGGGTGAAGAGAGGGGGTTGCAATCTCAACTAAACACTACACACTATGGACCTTTAAGGTCTGACACACCAGAATGTGGCTGAGGGAAATTGTTGCAGATGTGTTTGTACCTTCTGTTCCTGTCTTATAACTACCTCCAGGTCTCTGCTGGGGAGCATGGACATGAAACATTTCCACAGATTTATATTCCAGCGAGTGATTCCATCTTGAAATGTTGGTGTGAGCCTTAAGGATGGCGATTGGTGACTAAGATTATCTGTTCTTTATTCTGGACTATGTGACACTTTGAAACGATGTCATCCACCCTTGATACCCATGAAATAAGACCTGCAGTAGCTACATCAAGAGTAGATGGGGCTGGGTAGAGGAAGCCTATCAGCCAGAGCAGCCTCTACGTTCAGCCTCGTAGGAGGATGTGACGTCCTGCATGAGTCACCAGTGTGTCACCTTTGTTTCACCTTTAACACACCGAGCAGAATGTTTTCCCACTAAAACCGCC